TCTTCTCTTTCTGCCGGAGATACATTAAAAGAAGCGTGCTTATATTCAGAAACTCTGCAAGTGAAAAACCGTGTTATATTCCTACGCAAAAGTCCCAAAATTTCCTACTTTTCTGTCTTACTTCAAAACATCACTGTGTGCCATGATGCCGACATATGCTACGACACCTATGAAAACAAAAAGAAATAAAAAGATAACATCAAGTTTGATCGAAATATCTTGCCACGAAACGCCACCAGGCTCGGGTTCACTAGTACTTAGCTCAGATGTCTTGGTTGAGCTTTCGTCACGAACGCTTACGACGTCGGAACCTGGTGGAACAGCTCTTGATGGGAAATGCTCTTTTTGCTCCTCAGCATGCTCTTTAACCGGAGTAGTTCGACCAGGAGAGGATTTCTTGCAGGCCAACAGTCCAAGCCATTTGGGAGGCGCATCAGTTCGAAAGAAGCATCTCAAGACAACAATCGTAGCCAACAAGACAAATGAAATGAGGACAAGTGTTAGCATGACGATTCTTCCAAGTATTGGAATCTCGATAGACGAAACTGGTAAAGATTCAGGAACAACTAGCAAGTACACCATCAGGCTTAGCAACAGTGTTGTGACAAAACCTATCCTCTCCCCACTCTCAGACGGGATGAGGAAGCTCAACATTGACAATATAGTGAGAATACAGCAAGGGCCGAATACATAAAACATCTCGTAGCGAAAAAGTCGCTTGATCTTTAGAATGTACGTGATTTGGGAAAACTTGTAAGGGCAGCAGTTACCATGATCGGTTTCATTTAGCACGACGTCCAAAGATTCGACGTCCCAGTTGTTGTTTCCTTTTGGAACTGTGACATAAAATCAAGAAATATGAATTCAGAACAAAGTTGGAGCTTTAAAACCAACAAAAAGTATATAAAAAAATTAAAAAAAATTGCTATTTTGATTCTTACAATATTCTTTGACGCTGAAAGTTCGAAGTTGAAGCAGATTTTTGCCATACGAAGAAGATCCAAACTGAAAACTACACGTTTGAGTATCGAAAGGCCATTGTTTTATGTAGAGCCTACAGGCTGCGGTGAAAGATGTGCCCCCACTCCAAACACATCTACCCTTGAAGCTACAGATGACATTTGAAAGAAACTTTGCGGTGCCGCCCGCTAYAGGAACATCAGGGTCACCGCTGTTGACAACAAGTAACAAGATTATATGGCAGTACAGCATTATTAAGGAAAAAAGCAGCACAACAATAGTCTTCTTCACGGTTCCCTGCGACATCTTGAAAGGTAGCCGTSCCTTTGCAYCGWAGYGAGACAACCGTTGAGSGTGCAATGATAGAAACCTTCTTTCACACCTACAGACAATTATTTACAAGAATCTATCACTGCATCCTCAACGGTTGTCTCGCCTCGATGTAAATGCACGGCTACCTTTCAAGATGGTACAGGGAACCGTGAAGGAGACTATTTGAGCAGTCATGGACGGAACTTGAACACAGGCTAGACTTTCAGACGGGTCTGCGCGAGCMAGCCCGGTTTGCATTTTTCCCCCTCAAATTTCTGCGCTTTAACGAGGGAAAATACCAACGTGGAGCGCTAAGTCATGTCCGGAACGTATCGTAATACTTACTTGTTATACAATGCAATATCAGGGAACCAGATTTCTGTGGGTAAAAAGTGCAGTTGACGTACACCATGATTTTCTGATATGTTCCACCTGATGAAAGTGTCATTCCATGACTGTAGATTGAACAAGAAATTAAATAATAAGTCTATCTAAAAACTCCGAAATTATAATCAATAAGAAAATATTTGTATAARCTATGTTGCTTGTGTAAGTCTGCCTGGTAAGTAGAAAGCTAATCTATCTGGCCAGACCATCAGGAGGAGCCGACGGGGTCTGTTCTTCTAAATAACCTGTTCTTTTACGAATTATTTTCCTGGGAAAAGGATTTTGAGCTAAATTGTTGACAATAACACAAGCAAATGTGGCGCCCTTCCTTCTGTAAAATAATTTTCTTCCTGTCAAACCAAGGCAAACGTTCAGTTTCAGTTTATGGTCAAAATCGGCTTATATTTTTTTTAGTTCGGAAATTTGTATTTTCCTGGCAAAAATTCTTAGAAAGCATTCCTTGCTTGGAGTCTTCTTTTATCCTGAATTTCTCGCTGGCAACCAGTTGTGACTTACAGCTGGCTGGGACATAAAAACAGATATATTTCTTCCAGGAGCCCGTCAGCTTCTCCTAAGGTCATCACAAGGAATATCGGGTGGCACGGGTGGTCTAGTGGTTAAGCTACTGGCCTCTCACCGCTGTGGTCCGGGTTCGATTCCCGGACACGGACCATATGTGAGTTTGAGTTTGTTTGATGTGTTGTTCTCTCCCTTGCCACGAGGGTTTTGCTCCGGGTCCTCCGGTTTTCCTCCCTCAGCAAAAATCAACATGTGAGGAGTGTTGTGTGCTAAAATACTTAATGTAGAGGTAGTGAGTGTGAGAGTACAGGGTCCGCAGTAATTGGCTCACGCTGTTGCGGTGTCCCTGCCCATACTAGGGGAAAAGCTAATAAATTATAAAAAAAAATTAAATTAATTAAATTAAATTAAATTATACCAGGAATGCAGATTTAAATTAAGGCTACGAGAAACATAACCAGATGGCATATTACTCATTATGATATTTACCATGACAACCCAGGATTTCATAGTAATCGTCTGTTTTTTATCGTCCTTCAAAAATAGCAAAAGCATCTTTTAGGATAGATTGGAATCATGTAATACTATACTAGTGAATGTAAAAAAGCACTTACCACATTATCGATACTTGTCAGTTTAATGCCAATGTCGATTGGAAATTCAGAGCCAGTTGCTGGTCTAACTACCCTGTCATAGTTTTTTAGAATCATCTTTCGAATCTTAAGCTCCCCAACTGAGCCGGGTTGTCCAGACACAATGCTAAGAAGAGCTTGGAATATAAAAAGAGTATCTTCAAAGATATGCAAGACGCACCCTTTGGCAATATAGTACTATGTGATGATGGCTCGCGACTATTCATTGTTTGACGACACAGATGTCTCATTTATATGGTAACCACGTTTTAGCTAAAACTTTTCGAGCATTTATTCAATACATAAATTCCTAAGCAAAAACGATCCTATGGACTATCACACCACATCCCGTTCTATCCCAGTACATCCTATTGTACCCTCGAATATTTCATGGCATCTCCATTGGGGGAGGAAGGATGGCCGAGCGGTTAAAACGCCGGTCTATCACCGCTGTGGTCCTGGTTCGATTCCCGGTCCGGGACTATATGTGATTATAGTTTGTAAGCTGGTTATCTCCCTTGCTCCGAGAGTTTTTCTCCAGGTCCGCTGGTTTTCCTCTGTGAGGAGTGTCGTGTAGTAAAATAATGAATGTTGAGGTAGTGAGTATGAGTGAAATCAATACATAGAGGGCCACAAGTTTACTACTCTAGAGACTATTACGTGCTACCCTCTCAAAATAAAAGAGTTTACATATTTTATTTATTTATCTATCCCAGTAGTAATCATGTCGTTATAAAATGAACTTTTCTTAAAAGAAACAAGTCCTAAGGACAAACAGCTAAGTATAATCCACCTTGAAAAGCTATTTATCAGCAGCCTGGGTCCTCATCCTCAATAAACAAAATTCTGGTCATTGAGGAGACACCGAGTCATTGTTTTTTCTTTTTACGGGTATGAAAACATTCTTAGATATTAAAATTCTTTGTTCTAACATGGCAGAATAACTTTTGTAACTTCTTTATTTGATTCATCATGAATTTCATGTGGGTTTGCAAAGTAATAAAACTTAGACGTCGTGTTCTCATTATTTTTTAACTGGAAACAGGTGCCTTCCTCTTTCGCCTTCTACACGATATAAAATGCTTATGCATGCAATCCAAAAGCTCGCACCGCCTTTGCCTTTACATCTTTTAGTAAGAATGTAAGGGAATTATTATTAATCATTAATGAAGTACAAAATGTTGTGTTTATACATAATTAGGTAGACTTTCAATGACTTTGTCGATATTTTATCGTCAAAATCTATTCGATCGAAAAGTCCTTGATTTATTTTATTTCGCTTGCCGAATAATATAATAATAATTTTTCCCATTTATTTTAAATGGATTTAGAAAGTAAAGCTGCATCAAAAGTCATGAATAACAAATAATGTTTTTGTTCTGGAAATTCGTATTTTGTAAAGCATGTCATTTTCTAAATTGGAAGCCACAAGAATAGTTATCCAATATTTTGTGTTACACTGCTTTTAACCTTTTGAAAAGTCATCAAACAGAACTGATAATTGACGAATAAAAGGACAATTTTGCTCACATGTGTTAGTGCAAAACAAACTGGACGTCTTGATTATGATCCCAAGCTAAATTTCCACATATTTTTTTGCGAGCATGTACGGTAAACATCTCATTGTAGCCTGACCCGTCCACACATAACTGAGTTCACTGAATAACATCTGTGTCCGAACGACTTTGCACGGAATACTTAAACTGTGCAAAGGCAGGTGCATCCCAGCTAAAAAAATGTGAAAACAACTTACTCTTATAATTGCTGTCAAAACTATACCAAGAAAGTGTAAAAGTGTTCAAGTTTTAGATAAGATTTTGGTATCCTCACCTAGTGCAAATGTTCCTGACACCAACTTGTTTGACAGCATCTTCTTGCATGTGTTTACGACATGGACCACCGCTGCACAGAATAACCAGTGTTTTCATTCTGTCTGTTTTACGAAGATTTTTTGTACTCATTATTATACCATATAATTGTTTTGTTTGTATGTAGAATTTACCATAGAAACGATGATTGACAGTGAATATTGATATTTGATATGAGTGCATAAGTTTTACATGTGACCGATATAACATTTCACTAGCGCTTCGCCACTAGTTAGTTCGGATATCGATAGATAACACATGGCGAATAATTACAAGATACAATGTAGCTTTATGGATCTCAAACAAATGTAAGTAACCAACATTGTAAATCGTAATCAAGGTTTGAATAGTAATATTTGAAATCATTTGTAACTTTAGATCGAAATGTACTCTGAATAAATACGACAATTCCAGCCATAAAGGCTATATTTGATGTAAAATCTCTAGCGATACACCGTCCAATCAATTCAACTGATCAAATGGAAGTAATATATATACAACATGATGTAGCTAAATGTTTTTTTCTGAAAATAATGTGGAATAAGCTCTACTTAAAAGTATTTGGTTTCAACGTTTATTAATCAAAAGAACCTTTTATGTTTTAAGAAGAAAAAAATTGATCTTATTGATCATAGAATATGACATGATATAAGACCTCAATTCACGCTGCTAACCATTCTTCCGTCCTTCTTTCTCATGAAACTTCAAAACTATCATGCGCCTTTGTTCCTATAGCCGATTGAATCAACACTGAGACCTCATCACACAATATTGAAACTTCATCACACAACATTGATACCTCATCACAATACATCAGCGCATACCATTTACCATGAGAAAAGCATATGAAATTACACTTGTAAGCACAAAAACCCAGAAAAAAATTATATCAAGTTTGATCGAAATGTCTTGCCACAACACTTGGCCAGAAATTGACTCGGATTCATTAATATTAGGCTCGTTAGGTGTTGAAGGTTTCGTTGATGGAATTTCAGCAGCAGCCTGGATGGCATCAAAGCCTGGTGGCACAGCTCTTAAGGAGAAGCTCTCTTTTTGTCCCTCTACTTTCACTTTCACGGGACTAGACCCGCGAGAATAGAGTTTCTTGGAAGCCAAACAGCGAAGCCATTTTGGAGGGATATCAGTACGGAAGAAACATATCAGAACAAGAATCGTAGCCAACAAGACGAATGAGATAATGACGAGAGTGATCATGATAATCATACCAAGGATTGGAATCTCTTTTGATGAGACTGGTAACGAATCAGGCACAACTAGCAAGTACACCATCAGGCTTAGCAACAGTGTTGTGACAAAACCTATCCTCTCCCCACTCTCAGACGGAATGAGGAAGCTCAACATTGACAATATAGTGAGAATACAGCAAGGAGCGAATACGTAAAACATCTGGTAGCCAAAAAGGCGTTTGATTTTGATACTGTACGTGATTTGAGAAAACTTGTAAGGACAGCAATGACCATGGTCTGTTTCATTGACAGCAAGGTCCAGCGATTCAACCTTCCAATTGTTATTTCCTTCAGGAACTGTGAAATATAAATACAAAAAAAAAATTAACTTATGCAATGCACTGCAACCGGAAATAATGCACCAATCCTATATACTCTTCTCGATAAAGCATCAATCAATATCCAAACATTTATAAACCACAAAACGACCACTACAACCCAACTTATCCAGGGATCAAAGAGTGATCCCTCGTAGCAACCCAACCCACATAGCATCTTATTCATACAGCAATTTTAAAAGATCTATTGCCGCCATTTCGGTTGATTGAATATTACAGCATTTCTATGCCCAGATCTTCTCTGTTTCCCGTGAGAGAATCGAAGGAAGGCCTGGGAAACTGAGAATGATCTTAGTAAGAGAATGACATTACAGATTTGACAAGCTGCATTCCAATGAACTGCAAAGGGGTCTAGCTATATTCAAGACCGTGAGCTCCTGATTCAGTCGACATTCACTTATATAATAAACCATTTTGGCGATCTCTTTTGCGCTTTGTTAGCCTCAAAACCATGAAGAAATAAATGCTTTTATTCACTAACAGTCCGTGCAAATGCAAAAGACAATGGAAATAGTTTGAAATTTCACAATTTTTATCAAAATTTCTGAATATTTTGCACACAATTGAGGCTAACGCAGCGCAAAAGAGATCGCGAAACTTAACTATTACTTGACAAGGTTTGCAAAGCCCTTACAATGATCCCTGAGCTTAAAAGGGAGTAGCTGAAGCTGGTTGTTGTCATAGGATGAAGAACCAAACTCTAAATTACAAGTCTGGGAGTCGAAAGGCCATTGTTCGATGTGAATATCACAAGATGCAGTAAAAGTTGCGGCTCCGCTCCAGATACAAACACCTCGATGATCACACACGACGTGCGAAAGAAACTTTGTTCTACCTCCAGCTATAGGGACGTCAGGGTCGCCGCTGTTGAAACAATGATAATTAGAAAGACTGTAAACCAGCGACAAGGATTCACTATTATAAGACTGGTGCATAAGAAAGTTTGTTCACGAATGCCCAGCTCACAAATCGCGCTATTGTCGCAAAAAACTGACTTCGAAGGAGAATGGTTGTGACATTAATTTTTCCAAGTATTACCATTTTAATATAATATCATAGTAAAAACTAAAATATATGTTAATGCACTTTTTAAAGTATAGTACTTAGTACTATAGTATTCATTGAGGTTGCAAAAAAGTCTAAAATTTGGCTCTGCTCGTCTGTAGTATCCACACGGCGTATGAACCGGGCCTTCATCTGTATTTTTCTTATACTTCTAATTGACAATGCAGAAATTTATAAATTTTTGGGAAAAGGTGAGAATAATGAGAAAAAAGAATAATGAGAAGATATGCCTTAAATGTTACATTTGGAGGACTGATAATACACAGGAATCCCACCAAACCTTACTTATTATACAATGCAATATCAGGGAACCAAATTTCCGTGGGTAGAAAGTGCGCTCGGTTTACATTTCCAAAATCTGTTCTGTTCCACTTAATGAACGTGTTATTCCATTTCTGTCGACCAAAAGCAATAATGACAATAATAAAAGGTTAATGGCGTTTCTGTTATTTGTATTTTAGAGTAAATTAAGCAAGATATTTTGACAAAAAAATTCAAAATTCCAAAAAAAGAAAAAGAAAATATATTTTGTCATGTATGATTCAAAGCATATTCAGAATCTCTTGAGAAAAGGCGAGTTGAAACTATTAGCCTGATGATGGTTTTGAAATAAAACCGAAATATTGCTCTCATGTAATCTCCTATTCTATTCGATGTTGAATATCAACTAGAATCTCATACCTCAATTTTAAAGTCGTTCGTTGATTGGTCAACACGTCAACCGGATGAGAGGGTATTTCAAGTGGAATTCAACGGTGAGAAACCTGAATTCAACGCTGAGAAACCTGAATTCAACGCCCCGATAAGCTACCTTAAAAACACTTGCGTTATTTCAACAATTTACTCACAAAATCCGTGTAAAACCCTGGCAAAAGTTATTATCTAATTGTTTTAGTTCCCAACAACTTGTCTATTCACTTTCTCTAGATTTCAAGAAGCAAAATATTTTTATTTTTTGCAAATTAAGTAGCAAAAACAAAAACACATTTAAGTTAGTTAAGTTTAACTCGATAAAAGCAACGTTTTCAAACGAAAAAATACCCCAAAACTCATAAATATAACGTCACAATTAATTATTAAAATACTATTTATTAAATACCTGCATGGTAGTGTAATACATTTTAAAGTTTGTCAAGATCAGTTCATCTACGTAAACAAAAATTGAGCGGCCTTCGCCGTTTCTTGCACGCCGTTTCTTGCAGAAAACTAAAGCTGTTTCGCTTGTCATTTTTTCTTGAATATTCCATGCCAGAACAAGTTATGGGATGAATTTATGAAATGTTTCTGTGTTTGAGTTTTTCAGCTACTTTTTGATTGAGAATGTCTACTACTAGTACGCTTTCTTTCACAAGTAAACATGAAGTAGGTTTTGAAGTCTGCTTGGCAAGTCAGGGCTACTACTGACTTCGACGAGTTTCGTTCGTCCAAATAAGACTCAAAATATGACTTTAAACTTGTTTTCAATTTTTCAGTAACAACCTTTCGAAGTCTTTTCTTCATAGATGATATTTCTAATCGAGATAAGAATGGAAAACTGTAGAAATCTTAGGATTTGTGGCCCTGGTCTGTCTGCAAGTTTGCCGTCCGCCGATGATCGTTGCAAACTCGCTCTGAAAAACCGGTTTGAGCTTGTCAGTAAAAATACTGAAAAGCCATTCGAGTGCTAAAAATTTGTTTGTTTTAGTTATTAAAAAGTAATATTTCTTTAGCTAAAATGAAAAAAAAAA